TATGTACACTTATCTACTGGATGTTTAACCCACACTGTGCATCACTTTGCAACTGTGTGTTTCAGTTTCGGTTAAAACAAACCTGACAGACTGTTCTCAGTGTAAAGTGCACTCGCTCACTGATACATGAATAACAATAGGCAACAATGTGTCACTCAGGTTGTTTACTGTTCTCCAGAGCAGAGGGGCTGCTTGCATGCCACACAAGTGGATCCTGGAAACAAACTGCGCATAACGTAACCTTTTCAGTCGAAGTGGAAACGCCCCACATGTCCATTCATGTGAGCATGAACAGCCCTCACTGCTTCCTCACAATGCTGTTTATACTCCGAGTGGACACCGAGCTCTGAGGCCGGGCCAGACACGAACTATTGCTAGGCAACAGGCGGGAGGGAATCTGGAGCACAGCTAGACTGCAACTGCTGCCACACGAGCTGTACGGACTCATGACAGATAACGTTTTTTTTGGGGGGGTGGGCATCAAGTGGGTCACGTTTAAATCGCTCCCCAGCCGCCATTCACGGTCTTTTATATACAGGAGAGAGCAGAGCAGAATGAACGCAACATGCGAAGCTAAACTGCATGAATTATCTTCACAGGCTGAAAAATAATTAAAGACTAAACAGAAAACAAATAGCTCATTAGCATTTTTGAGTTGCAACACAACACTTTGATAAAATTACACTTAGTGGAAGTGTGAATAAGTGTTTTGTCTAACACTTCAGGCTATCTGGATTCAGTTCCTTTTGAATATGTTACATAAAAGGCTCCTTAAAAAAGAAATCTGAGTAATCCTGCTGTTTAGAAATGCTCAATGTAAAACTGGATTTACAAGAAATTTAAGGCAGATAATCATGGGACACTTGGGCCACATTTCTACAATTGGGCCCATTGGGTGTTCGGTTGCAGGCTGACTGCAAGCAAACTGCTGCCGATTCATTTCCTGTCAGCTGCTCACCACTGGGAACTGTAACCAGTGTATATAATACTGATGTACCAAAAGAACAGAACTGGCATTAGTCTTTATAACGCCTGTCAACAAATCCCCAGAGAAAAAAATGATTCTACTACCACTGAGGCCAAAGCCATACAGCTTCCTCCTCTGAGGAGATCCTTCACTGTCCAAAAACTTTTTAAAAACACAACAAGAGTTGTCATGTTGTTAAGCTGGCAGGCACGTTGCTTCATCACAGTGAACTGGTTTTTTTTCACCCTCCATATAGTCAAACCCTCCGAGATTTAGCTTCTGCTTGAGTGCTTCTGTCTGAGGAGAATTTCTGTTTTTAAAAATCAAACCATTTTCATTTTCTGTAGGAAAGAGTAGTGATGAGGTCAAGTACCTTATGGTGCAGAACTAAAAGGGTAAATGGTAGCACCAAGGGAGGGGGCACCAGCCACCTCTCAAAATGTGCTGCACCAGGCAACTAGGCATATAGTTTTTTGTGTTGTGCCACCCCAGTATTTTTAGTGGCCCCCATTTGAAAAACTTCTGCAGGCACTCCTGGGTGAATGGCAAATAAAACATGACAGACAAAAAGTGGAAATGTGTTGGAAATGCAGAATTAAAAGTTTGACTAGTGAATTAAATTGAGGGGCTGTTAGTGCGTTTAGTCATTTCGTGGGATTTCTTGATAATGAGACTTCAACAATAAACAGGACAAATGGGAACTGCTGCTGAGCTGGAGATGCAACCTGATGAGCAACATGCACAATCAGGAAGTTTAGTGACTAAGGTCTAACTTTATATTACTTATTGATACTGCTAAAAATCCTTGAAGGTCATTTCATTGTCCAGTTCTTCTGGATGGCATAAAGATATCCTGATCGCCCTCTAGAAGTCCTTTTATGAACCTTGAATCTGAGTGTTTATGATTTTAATACATACCTGAAAATCTTGCTTCACACAGAATTACTGCTGTTTGGTATAATAGCCAAACACAAAGTTGGGTGTCGAGGAGCACGCTTGTTACACTGACATGACCTTATGGCTTAAACATGACTGTGCACTGGTCCTCTGGAGAGCCTGTGGATGATTTTGAGGACTGTCATCTACATGTCTGTAGCTTCTTACGATCAAACAACCAGTCGGTGGCCGCCTCCTGCCTCCGTTATTGAAAGAAAAGTACTGGCAGTGTCCTCAACCTCCTAGGAGCTGCACCCGTGGTAAAAATGTAAAAACCCCAAGTGATTTTTCATTAAAGCTGAACACTGACCTTGACTTTGAGATTTAAACTAATCTGCGGTTTAGTAGATTCCCCTATTGTTATCAATTTGAAAATAATGTTACGCTAACTTATCGTATTCACAAACATGGATCCACACCCCGCGCTCACCTGCCGGAGCGACAACTTATAATGGCGGAATGAAAAATGCCCTTCTTAGCTGCTCTTTTTATCAGCAACTGGACATAAAGTCACTACTGTAAATCTCGCATTAGTCCACAGATTTGGCTCTCTGATACTTTGACCCAATTCCCAGAAAAAAAAAACAAATTGAAAAGTTATTGTTTGAAAACTGTGCAGGACGTCACATGCAAGTGTGCGTACTTTAAGTGGTCAGAACGGGACTTCCAGGGAGTACACAGGAAGTAGCAGGAGTGCTGGAAATGGTGCAGGGCGACATAAGAAGCCCATCTTGAAGGGGAGACGAAACTGAAGTCAGATATCTGTTTTTGTGAAGGTGCTCAGATCACACCAGCGACAAAACTAGAAGACTAAGACTGCGCTGTGATTAATGTTTAAAATTATTCCCTTGTGGATGTAATTACCAAATAATTTGCTTTATTGAACACATAAGATGCCTTCATACAGGTAACAAAAACAGACAACTGTCAGCTTGAAATGAAAAAAGAAAAACCCACATTTTATTGCACTTAAGTTATAAGAAAATAAAATTCTAAGTGAATCAAACAAATACACAATCCCTTTAAGGTTTTTTCTGTCCGTTTTCTTTTTTTGCCAGGCAGTTTACATGAACTGGAAAAAAACAAAGAAAAAAAAAAGAAATAAAAACACCTGCAACAAATCTGATTTCTCAAACCAGATCATAAATTAAAATCAGAGGGAGAAAACAACAAGAGGAGATAGAGCAAGATTGTTTTCTTTTCTTTTTTTAATATACAGTGTTATACCACTTTCACAGTTCAGCTTGAGTTGTGACTCTTGGAGATTGGGACGGTTTTTGTTTGGCTACAATGTTTCTGTTCATGTTTTGTTGCCTTTGTGGGATTTTTTTGTTTTGTTAAAATTTCTCCCCCCATGACGACCCGCGAGGCCGCGGCCGCCTGGGTGATTTCGACTGCGACACATGTAACACTAAGACTCCCGGCAGCTCCGCCTGTCAGTTGATGCTTGTGATGGTCTCCTCTGTTGCTTCAGACATCTTTGAACAGAACAACAATCACACGCACGGATATGGACAGTTCTTTCATTCACCTGTTAAAAATCGATACATCTGCTAGGATTTTTTTTTTTTTTAATATTTTCGCTTTTTTTGTCTTTGCCAGTCTGAACAGCATTTGTACATTTCCCCAAAGAACAGGCCGGAAGAGCTTTGTCCCAAGGAATGTGTTTACAAGTTGCCCATTAACACGCTAAACACACGCACTCATGCACACGCACGCCAACAGTGTACATCCCCTTGTTTCCTCTCTGCGGGCGCTCCCCGCCAGTATCTGTCGGACACGCTCCCTCCTCTCGGCCTCGTAGAGGCACGTTTGGCTCAAGTTTCAGTGGCAAAAACAAAACAGAAAATAAAAAGCTGGATGTTACCTTTTTTTCTCATATTTTGTTTCTGTAAGTCCAAACATAGAGTTCAATTTGGAATTTTGCCTGGGACTAAAACGTCACAGCAAGTAAAAGTTCCATCTCTCTCTTTCTTTTTCCCCATTCATCTAGCAGCATAAATACAGTTTGGCCACTGGGGGGGAAAACGGTAGAGGGGAAGGGAGGGGGACGAGTGGGGTTCAGGGGGGCATTAATCCACAGCGCTTAGAGCAAAGGACCTTTTCTTCTTCTCGTCACAGCACTGGCATTGAGGAAACCACCCCAGCTAGACTCTGGAAAAATCTGGACAGCATTGATGTTCATGTGGAGACGGCGCTCTGAACCCAGGTATGTAGAAAACAGAAAGGAAGAACCAGGAAGAAAGGAAGAAAACAAATCAAAACAAAATAAACCCTTGTGACAAAGATGGCAAACCTAAACAGGGCAGGTTTCTAATACTGGGATTTGTTGCTGTTGGCAACAGTGAGAAAAGGCGGAAAAAACAAAACCTTTCATATGATAAACCAAAGAGGTGTTGAAATTCACAGTTGTGTTTGTGTGCGGTATTTTAAAGAAATCAGACTACAGAAGGGGAGAAACAAACAGGAACAGAAACGGAGTGACGAGAAACTAGCCTGAACAGGCTACACCGAGCAGCTCTTTAGGTGCGACTGTGTGTGGAAAATCCACCTTTCTCAGCCTTAACCTACGGTCAACGTTTCCCACTTTCCGGTCGGCCTTTTGAGTGTATGTGTGTGTTTTTCTTTTTTTTTGTTTTTTTTGGTGGGGGGCGCACACTGATGGGAGGGGGTTACAGGGGGTGGGAGGGGCTTTTAAAAAATAATATATCTCTGTACATGTCAAAATCTGTCAGGCTTGAGCGAAACTAAGTCTCTGAGTGAAGCTGCCCCCAAACTGAAAGGATTGAGAGTCACTTCAAAAGAGTTCAGTCATTGTCGGCCGATCCTCTCTTTTTTCCCCTCTTCCTCTTCTTTCTCACAGCCAATCAAGGGACAGACCAGTCGTGCTCCGCCCTCCTCGCCTCGTTTCCAACCTGATCCCCCTTTAGGCTCCACCTTGTGCTGATGGAAGGGGCTCAAAAGCAGGGGCTGAACAGGTGAGGGTGTGTCTCTTTGTCAGTAACATTTGCCCAAAAAAGCAGGGGGGG